TCGTATGAAATCGTACGAAAAGTTATGCACACTATTTGGTTCATTTTGGACGTTTTTCCTCAAAAAACCCGATCAGTGCGCATGCGCTGGCATGCAAAACGAAAAACTGTGCAATCATCAGTTCTTCATGTCTCTGACTACGTTGCTTGCTGTTTTATATCTTAGGGTCAGGGTCAGGGTCAGGGTCAGGGTCAGGGTCAGGGTCAGGGTTAGGGTCAGGGTTAGGGCTAATTGTTTTTTAAATTCTATGTTCTTGAAGGGTGCGTCAGATGCGCATGCAACGAAAAAAACGTACGAAAACACGGTGCATAACTTTTGGTACGATTTCATACGAACTCATAATGAGAATACACTGCCCCACTGGCGTAACTCTCTGAAGGACTGGTGTGGACATGTCCCCACCCACTTTGGGCATGGAGGGGACATGTCCCCACCAATAATTTCCGCTTTCTGCTGATTGACTTCAGCGCACAGTAACTGTCTGCAGCTGTCTGTGTTCAGATTGTCTCAGTCCATGTTTCCTCCTCGCTCTCCCGCTGCTCTCCAGTCCCTCCTCTCGGTGAAATATCGTGGAATCTGTCGCTTTGAGACATAATATTATTTGGGGTCGTTATTCAGTGTGTACAGAGTCGCTGCGTGGAGGAGGAGAGACACAGCAGCACTCAGTGAATATTAACCAGCAGCTACTTTGGTGTTTCAGTAAAGACTGGTTGGTTAAAAAAATTGCGATTCCACCGAAAACTCAGTTTGCTACATACTGAGCTTTTTCAGCTAAAAATGGCGGACCTGTCTGCCTGCGTTTGGATCCAGCTGTTATTGTTCAGCCTGCAGGAACAGCTGATGAATGCAGATCGTTCCCTCATAGCTGAAGCACCGACCGTCCGTCTGCAGGTTATGCAGCATCGCTGCGACGCCGTGAAGAATAAATCACTTTTCATTTGGATTGTTTTCCAACATGATGAATCTTTTTAGTTTGTTTTTTTTTTTTGTTGTGAAATGATTTTCTAAAGATTTGACTCAAACTTGTGTTTTCAGCATTGGTAGTCCTAACCATGCTGGTACATTAATAATCATGTTGTTAAAATCCAGCATTATTGATGAAAATGATTGTTCGGTACGGACAGCTGACCTCTGACCCCTGATTCACTCAGACTCCTTCATCCGTTCCCATGAACAGAAGCTTCTGTATTCAGTGGCGTAATTCCCAGCGCCTCTAACAGCTCTCCGTAGATGTTTGATCTGTTATTGATCATGTTTCAGATGTTTGTTCTTTAAAAACCTCTCATTTAAAATATCCTTAAAGGTTTTTTTAACTTCAGGGCCTCTTGTGTAAAAACAGAACGGAGCCTTTCCTTTGTTTCTTTTCCTAATTGCCTTTCAGAGCTGGAAATTTCTTAAATGAAATAAAAAAAACCTTTTAGAGAAACAGAGAAAGTACGATCAGAATTAAAGAGATTTCATTTTCACTTCATGTTCAGGGACAACTCAAGCGAGAAAGAAAAACTTCTGGTTAAAAGAATCCTGTTTTCAAGATTTTACGATTTGAGGTTAATGTAATAACCCCCCACCCCCACCCCCACTCCACATGTTAACAGGGTGGCATTAGGTTTATTCATTTTTCATGTTTATTGCTGTTTATGGTTATATATTGAATAGTCTTTGGGAGGTGAACCTAGCAGAGGGATTTCTCTGTTCCTCAGCAGAAGATTAAAGCAGCATTTAAGCTTAACTAAAGTCTCCATCTGAATGTCAATAAGTTGCATATTATCAGCTGCTCCTGCTGTTGCTCTGGAAATCAGAGCTTCCATTGATCTCTGCTGTGTCTGAGTGCTTCCTGCAGCTTTGAAGTTTTATTTCCAGATGATTCCATTGCTTCGATTGTTTGGGAACAGGCGTCATTATGCTGCTTTTATCTGACCAATAAAGAAAAAGAATAAACATATGCAGACGGGTTTAGATCAGCTTTTCAACAGGCAGCTGGTTTAAAACATGATGTCTGTTAGTTTGAGCGGATTAGAAGCTGCAGCCTGAATGTTGTTAAAAAGCTGGATTTCCTTCAGCGCTAACGTAGCTCTGCTCCAAGGCTCCCTCTGGGAATTTCACAATGATTTAGGAGCATTTCCATCCCAACAGGATGTCTGCTGAGATGCAGCAACATCTCTGTAAAGGAGGTGGAATTTTTGGATTTTTCGTTTTGAAACGGACTTTGGACTTCCAGGATTTTATTTATTTAATATTAAAAAATAAAAAGAACGGATAATTTTGGACTTTCAGTTATTAGGGTTGTTTTGTTTTGTTTTTCGCAGATATAAATTGAGACTTTGAGTTTACTTATAAAATGGTTGTGAAGGTTTTTGGGTTATCGATCTATTTATACTGAATTATTATTGAATGAAACTTTGGATTCCTGTTAGTATTGCGTTTTGTTTTTTTTGTTTTTTTTCTTTTATAAATCTTTGTTGCTAAAAATCAACAAAATCCTACTAAGTGGTTGGATATTTTTTTCTTTCGTCTCAGATTTAAAATAACATATTTTGCCTGTATTCCTGTGACAGAATCCCCCTTTAATATTTTTGAGATCTGCTTTTAATCAAGCTAAATTTTACAAACGGGTCTCACCATCTTTGCGGGGTCTTTCCATTGACTTCCATTCATTTCTACAGCCTAAAACCTCTGACCTCTGACCGTTAGGGGTTCAGACCTAAACCTAAGCCCAGCCTAAACTCAGTTCACACCTCAGTCCTAAACCTGACCTCTGACCCCGAAACAACCTTAAGACATGATGCAGGCTGCGGGAAGGCTAGCGGGATGCTAGGAGCTGTTGGGGAGAACAGAAACAGGAAAGTCTCTGTAATGAGCGGCAACAAAAAATGGTTGGATGTCAGAATTCTGGATCAGAGAAGCTAAAACAATTGATGCTATACTCTCTCTCTCTCTCTCTCTCTCTCTCTGTATATATATATATATATATATA